GGGCCGAGTTTCAACTGCAATTGAAACTCGGGCCGAGTCTCAACTGCAATTGAAACTCGGGCCCTGACGAAACTGCTAAAACGCAGTTTCGAATGCAATTACAAACTGTTTTGGTGACTGCGCCGAAGTTACCCCCCAAAAAAAAAGAGGGTTTGGCTTGTGCTGGCCGACTTGTTCGGGAGGCTCTACCTGTGAATGACTTTTTTAGGGTCGATTTGGCCTATGCTGGCCGATTTATTCAAAAGGCTCTCGGTAGCATACGAAGGTGACAGTAATCTGTTGGAGACATCATCGCTTGCCAGACCGCTTTCATAAGCCTAATCCGCTCCGCTTCGGAACGGCTGTCTTTGAGATTGTGGCGGCTGCTGTGCCCATCGAAAAACATTCCCTGGCAGGCTCTCTCGGGGTGTGACAACAAACTCTCTCAGGACATTACACCAGCGCTAGCGCCCCAACGCCGGCTGGCCGGCGAGGCCCGGCCGCACCCAGCTTGACCAGTGTGCCCTCCAGGCCGCTGGGCCTGTTCACGCGCCCGACACGTGGCCGTGGCTTTCAGCTTGCCACGTGCCACCTGTCATTTGGTGGAGTGGACGCCTCGCAATGCATGGACAGGGGAAGTGCCAGCCGTGATTGATTGGAGGTTACTGCTAAAAACGCGGCGCAGTTCTTTGAGCGAGCCATGGCTACCATGGAGGAGATTTCGGAGAGGGAGCTACATCTTGGAGCAAACGAATGGCTGGTTACCTTGGAGAAAGGACGCAGATGGCTACATGAGATTGTGGGGGACATGTCCTTGGGGTTGCAAATGGAGCCAGAGGTCGAAGGGGGAGCAATCTCTCTGGCTGGTTGGATGAAGGATAAAAGTGAGGACATGATGGAGATCATCTGGGAGCTGGAGGAGGGGCCGGATCCTCGGCTTGACATCTGCATCGATTGGAGGAGGGCAGATGGCATCATGGCTGTCTGCAAAACCCTCTTCAATGAGGGTCGCGATCTGTATGATCTTCTCGAAGACCGGTTGGAGAGTGTTATTGATCGTGAGGAGGCGCACGTGGCAATGGAGGTAACAGTGGTAACATCAAGACCAACAACAACATCAATAACAACAACAACAATAACAGCATCAACATCAACAACAATAACGACAACAACAATAACAACAACAACGATGACAACAACAACAAACACCAACCACAACAACAACGGCCACAGTGACAACAAAAACAGTGGCAGCATCAACAACAACAACTATTTCATCATCAGCATGGAAACCTACTTCTGGGCATCTGAGGTTATCATCAGCGGGATGGGTGAGATGTCGCGAGCGGGCATGGGGGAGACTGGGGTTGTCCTCGGCAGCAGCAGGGTTGAGAGTGGCGCATCTCAGATCATCGACACCATGCTGGGAGAGAGGCCACAAGCGGACGTGGTAGGGATTGGGGATAACAACAACAACAACAACAATGATGAAGGCGGCAGCAACTACGACGGCAGCAGCGATTACCACGTCAGCAGTGCGACAGTGTGCATCAGCAGGAAGGGAGAGAGGTTGCATGCTGACGTGGAGGGGATTGGGGTTGACACGGATAAGAAGCTTACCATCTTACTTCCCTTCCTCCCCTTCAACCTCATTGTCTGTCTGAGGATAGGAGTAGGATAGTCGATGTTGATTGGTGTTACCATCTTCCCCCCCCTCCCCCCCCCTTCAACCTCGTTGTCTGGATGTGGATTCGGGTAGGAAAATTGATGTTGATTGCTGTTGCCCGGCCCACAATATCAATCAACAATGGGGTGCTGATTGCCCCGTGGGAGGGAGGTGGGCTGCTTTGGGAGTAGATTGCAGATGGTCAACCCTTCCCTTGTGCAGGGAAGTAATCAATGCCCCTGCTCTCCTTCAGATAATAGGTATAGCGACAGTCTTTACATGATTTTGCAAAATGGAAGCTCGGCTCGCAGTTCAGATCACACAAGAGTACAGCATTGATAGAGTCTCGTATTTACGCGTGACTATTAAAGATCCCTTACATCACCTTTTGTTAGGGTTACGGTTTTTTTTTGCATAAGCTGGACTCTACGTCCAGAACATACAGATTACATAATTGGTAGTGATTCATGCTAAAGACTTGATTGATAAACATCATACACATCACATCATTTTTAGAGTTTCGTGTTTACACTTTGATAGATATTGAACACATGCATCACAAACCTCATACATACATCACATCATCGTTAGGGTTTCGCTTCATAGGGACGATGGACCCGGTTTCCAGCAGATACATTCACATCACTATACAGGGATACTGGACCCGATTTCCAGCAAATACATTCTCATCATTGTATAGGGATGCTGGACCCGATTCCCAGCTGGTGTGGCTCCCCATCAATAGATGGAGCCTTCGAGGCCGGGTCCTACTTGCCGGGGATGCTATTATCACCTCGTTAAGTAGGTTCCTCTATACGAAGTTTCAAAAAAAATAAAATAAAAAAAAATCAAATGGCTCTCGAAGGATTTCTTGGCCTATATTGGGCGTTCTGTTCGGGAGGCCCTATATTGGGCCTCGGGAGGTCAAGACGTCGTTTGGCCTATGCCGGCCATTCTTCACGCGGTCGCATTTGGCTTCGTACGGATGGACAATGTGGGAAACACCCATAAGAGCACTACATGGGTACTAATGACATCGGCATGTGCAACTACGCGTTAAGAGACGAGACTACAAGGAAAAAAAAACAGAACAAGCCAGAAGCCAGACCACGGTAGTAAAATCATGCGAATCCGATGCTATTCACTGGACTCCAGACGATTGCATGCTGAAGCACTCTACTGGACAGATTTGCTGACGGTATTTCGTACGTGGTGCCACCTACTCTATTAATTTATTTTTATTTATTTCTGATTTTTGCAAATCAATATTGGGACCTCGTTTCTAGAACAACATAGGTAGGCAACAGTATATAAATGCGGGTGGTGAATGTACGCGCTACAGCTTGAGCAGAGGAGTAGAAGGGATGTAATGGACGTGTGTTGATGTTCTACTTGTTGACGTTCTACAGCTCCGACTACGTTACTTTTGAATAAATCTTTCGGCTACTGGAAACCAGGGGCTTCCACTAGTGGAGGTTTAGTTCCTGCTAACGGTACTGTGTGACTGTGTGCTATACAGCACGGCAGATGAGTGACAGCACGAGGAAGAAAGAAGAAAGGGGTAACTTCAGTAGAGTCACAAAAGCCAGTTGTAATTGCACTATGGGGCAAGATACAGTGGGCATTGGTCTTCCCTCTGCGGTGCGCGGAAGGAGTTGGATCGAGGGTGCTCTTCCTTTTCCTGTCTTGAAGTTCTTGTTTTTTAGGTCCATCAAAGCAAAAACCTTGTACTGGGTCGGTAGGCTAGTTGCTATCCAAGATTTTCTTAAACTTTTTCATAGTTCTCAGATTGTTCTTAGCCGAATGCCAGGTAATGGCCCTGGTATCTCAAATCATTTCTCGAATCATCGGTATAATTCTATATGGGACGCTGGGCCCGGTTCCCAGCACATGTTGCTCCCCACGAATAGATTGGAGCTCTTTGTCCCAAAAAAAAAAAAAAAAAAAAAGAAAAAAGTTTGCAATTGCACTTCGGGCACCCAACCTGGCCAGAAAGCTGGGTTGTATACATTGCCCGAACTGCAATTTGAAACTGAATCTTGGCCCATAATGCAATTATAACTCATTTTTGTGACTCCCGTGTAGTTTCCCCAAAAACAAGAGGGAGGGGGATGATCCGGAATCCATAATGATGGGACAGGCTGAGACTGAAAACGGGCCAATGACAGTGGCTGGGAACCAGTAAGCCGTTTGGGCCTTGTAGCTACTGAAGGAAATGAGCTTACCACAGCGGTAAGAGCAGCTATTAAAAATGGGACTGGTGGTCCTCCTCTGTCGCCCGATATAGGTCGGGCTACAGGTGAGGACCACTATACACCTGAGAGCAAAAATGTGGCGAAATGTTTGGCTAGTGGAAAACCGTCGTATGGGCACCCTTACCTCGGATTGCCTCGCAAAAGAACTGCCGGCCTATGCACCCTACTATCGCTCTACATCAGTGCTGAGAAAAGATGTCACACACAATGCAGGTTTCCCTACCCCAGAACAAAACCTCCGCTAGTGGGACTTGGCCCCGGGTCCAGTGTCCCTTGAGCCTACTGCAACTTCTCAAAAGAAGGAAAAAAAAAGGGTGGACCACTCAAATGGTGGGAAAGAAGAACAATTCACCCAAGGGAGAGCAATCAAGTCTGTCCTACACAGCTGATCTGCTCTCTTGGTCCTACAGTTGACAACAACCACAAACAAACTCCGACTTTTCCACCAGAACTAAACTTTGCTAATGCTGCGTCTCTTCCCCGCGTTTCCGAAAACCACTCTTGAACTTTTCTGTTCTTCCCCTTAGCTGAGCGGCTGGTCCAGTCTGATAAGATCGTGTATCTCATTTGTGGCAGCACCTTGTTCTTTTTTTTTTTTTTTTTTTTTCCTTGCAAAAAGAACCCTTGTGTAAGCCCTCTATCCCGATGGTGGTAAGAGAACTGTCAGCATTTAGGGCTTATCTGCTGGGCTGCTCCATCTATTGGTGGGGAGCGGCACCTGCTGGAAACCGGGTCCACCGTCCCATTGATACATCTTACAACACAGAGAATTCCAGTCATTGTTCCTAGGCCTGTGGTCTTTTCACTTGTCAGTCCGGGTCTCCATTGATTGCCTGATCTGAGGTGTATTTGTTGTTGAAGAGTAGATCGTTCCGGTCATCCCGGATCACCTTCGTCAGTATGGCCTGAATGGCATGAACCACCTAAAGCCACTTTTCCATTCCTCATCTAGGGAGCCAAGGGCAATCAATATTGGCGGACCTCACTGTCACAAGTTCTCAGGATTCTTAGACATTCTCATTTTCTGTATATGGGACGTTGGAGCCGTTTTCCAGCAGGTGATGCTCCCCACCAATAGATGGAGCCCCCCTCCTGGTGTTAGTGGTGTCTGCTCTTATCAGCAGCACTAACACCGGTGGAGGCGGTTTTAAACCACCAGTACCTGGCCCAGCTATCGAGTCCGAGCCTCGGCCGACTGGTAGGCCGATCCGTGCCGAGGCTCGGACTACCGGGCGCAGCCATCCCGAACGTGCAACGTACACAACGAAAAAAACGGGCAAAAAAA